ACATAATCATATTTATGCTAATAAAATTTTTTGTTTTTTAGAATTTATTATTTAGAAAAAAAATTTTTTTTTTGGAAGCAACAGACTTCTAGAAAGCGACTTCCGTTTTATGGAAATCTGTCGTTTTTAAAATTCCATCCCCCCAAGCACGTGGCATAAAGAACTTCGTTTTAATGGGGTAAGGAGGAAACTTAGGAGGAAGAGACTTCCGGTAAGCCACTTCCGTTTCATTAAATCTGTCGGTTTTAAAATTCCAGGCCCCCTAGTACGCGACAATAAGAACTTCGTTCTAAAAATTAAATTTCGTGAAAAAATTGATTAAATAAAAAAAAATTAGATATTTTTTCTTGATGCGAATGTAATAGTCTCAGTTTACAATGAGTATAAAAAGATGTGAGGTTTGAGTTTTAGCCCAAATTTGGTAAATTAAACAATGTTTTTACATCCATTGTACAAATATTCACAAAATCTTACAATACATTATACATTACTAACACGTTTTATATATATTCAAGCTAAAATGTTATTTATCACAGGTATGGAGGCTGTTGGAAAGGCTGGTGGTGTAGTTGAAGCAGCAATGTCCTATACAGGTGATGTAAGTGATCCAAGTCGTCAGAAGTATAATATCAAATACTACGTTAATTTAGCAAATGAGCTAGTTAATGCAGGTACACACATTTTATCTATTAAAGATATGGCTGGGCTATTGAAACCTAAAGCTGCCAGAATATTAGTTGATGCAATTAGACAAAGGCATCCAGATTTGCCAATTCATATTCATACTCATGACACATCAGGCTGTGGGGTCTCATCAATGCTTGCCTGTGTAGAGGCTGGTGCAGATATCATTGATGTTGCTGTTGACAGCATGTCTGGTATGACAAGTCAACCATCTATGGGTGCAATCGTGGCTTCATTACAAGGTAAAGTATTAGAACCACTTATTATTTTTCATGACTATTGCATTAAAGCAGTGGTAATGTACATACATGATAAGATATTAAATTTTAAGATAAAAAGTTTAATAGAATTCTTAATAACTGTACTTCAAATGTAGCTGTTAAAAGATCTTTGTTAAATGAATATTTATTTGCCAACTTATTGAAAAATGGTGTCATAATGATACTTGTTAATTTCAGCACTAATTAAACAGTAAGAAAGACAATTTATTACAATTCTTCTTATTTTAAATAATATTTGCATGTCAGTCCGTATTTTATTGCTAATTCAAAGAAAATATATCACAGCTACTTTAAAATTTTCAAAATTTTGCAAAAAATAACTTTTTAACTAAATTATTTTATAGCTACACTAGAAATGCAAGCAAAAGGCTCATATTTTTATGTAATACATGTGGCTCGCATGGATACAGACACAATCAACATCATTGTGTGAAACTCCAAAATGCTTGATGTTATCTTAAGCAATGTTTCTTTGGTTTTAACGCCAACTTTATCAGGCTTACTTTATTAATAGAATCACAACAAATTCACATAAATAACGTTGTAAGGCCACTAATTAAATAAACATATAATGCTAATGTTAGTACAAAAGGATAGGGTTTTCTCTGCTATCATCAACTCCAGTTAACTTTCCGATAAGGTGGTAAATTGCTCTTTCGTCTCCTGGAAGAAAAGGAAGTTTAGTCGTGGTTGATGGAAGTGGGTAGTTGTGATTGGCAAAGATGTAAAAAAAATATATGTTCTTTTCTAAGTTAACTTCTGGAAAGTTTTGATAATTTTTTAAATGATCTAGAAAACTCCAGAATGTGTGTAGCTGTAACGATAGATCAAGGACGTTCTTAAAAGTTTCAAAAATTGCTAGAATGGTCTAGAGAGTTTTAAAATATTTTAAGCTATTGAAGTTGATCTTAAATAATCTAGAACATTCTAAAAATATCTAAAATGATCTAAAAATTTCCATAACGTCTGCAACTATTAAAATCAATCTGGAATCTGGAATTTTCTAAGATCTAAAAATTTTCAGAACGATCTATAGTTCTCCGTTATATTTTAGAACATTTTAGAAAGATCACCAATCACCAAAATATATCATAAGGGTATAGGATAGTATGTCCTTATCGTGAATAATTTTGAACGTTCTAGAGTAGTTTCTAAGATTCAAGAGCGATTAATAAAATTAAACTTTCGAAAATGCTTCTGACTTCGAAAGTAATGTATATCTTAATACATTGTAGAACGGCCTGGTACCAGAAACTTTGGTATTTAACGGTATATAAATAAAAATCCAGTGACTTTTTGACAGTTTTTTCGTCTTCACAGTGTAAAGAAGAACAATTCAAATTGAGAGTGAACAGTTATTTAACACATTTAAGTTATTATGAAAAATAAAAAAAAAACGAGCTATTTAAATATTCTATAGTGTTCTGGTACTAGAAAATTTTGATGTATCGTGTCTCCAGTCAAGTGATAATCAATTTTAATTGACAGGGAACGGTTATTAAATAATTAAATAGAACGTTCGGTAACAGTTAGTAAATAATTATTGAACACAGTATCCAATGGTGGTACTATCATATTTTTGTATTTATTCAAAAACAAAAACAACGTTTAGGCCGTTTGAACAACGTCCTGGCCCTCATCAGATGCAAAGGAGCTATAAGTTAAAAAAAAATTTTTTACAATACAAATTCTGATAAAGTACACTAAACACAAATTAAGTTGAGTGTATAACATACCTCTCACTCTTACAAAAGGGATTTAAAATCGTAATGTAGTCAGAGTTTCAAATTTAGCGGCTTTAATACTCTGCACATACACAAGTGACATGGTGCACGCACGCAACACAATCAAATAAGAGTCGCTAGTAGTTACTTGTGAGAAGCATATAAATAGTACATCAAGTACATGGCTTTCTAATGCTATAAATAAAAGAGGCCTCCCGAATCATGTTAATAAAGTTAATCCTCTTTCGCAATTGACTTAACGAGAGACTTATAACAATTTTTTAATTTCTCTGTATTTTTCAGTTTAAGTAATTAAACAAATTTTAGTTTTTTTGACAAGTAAAAAAGAGCAAACTATGTGAGTATTCTAGAGCGTTTGTCAGTGATGCTATCACAGTAATTAAGTGATTAATTTTGTGTAACTTTATTACGTTACATATATACAATGCCAAGATGTTAGAAAGTCTTTACGAAACCTCAAGTGGATTCAAGAAGAAAATAAGCAGCATGCTGAATTAAAATGTAAAACCAAAGAGAGAAAGGGCTTTTGAATATTCGTAAGGGAGTGAAAAAAAATTTAAGAAAATTAAACCAAAGAAGAAAGAGCACACACTAACAAAGCAACGCAATTACGAGTAAAATCAATCTGAAATCGTCAATCCGCAGATCAACGTGAAGCGAAAAAGGAACAAAGTTTTCAAAAAATGGCCATTCTACGCCAACAATGAGCTGCTACATGTAAGATTAAGAGTTTAGAACTTCCGGCTCTCCATTATGATTGCAAGAAACAATACAGTGAATATCAAAATATTGTCATCGGAGAAATGGATACAATATGAGAGAACTTTTATGCACAGAAGTTTTAAAGGTGAAACTGCCAGCATGTGCTGCTCGAGAATTAAAATCAATTGACTAGCATAAGATGTACCACCACCACAACTACTCGTATATATATGACTGGAAAACTACACGATTTCAATTATTTTTTACAAAATACAAGTCAATACAACTGTTGTTTTCAAATGACTTTATTTAAAGCTTCATGAATATGCAGGAAGAAAAATTTTGGTTTTTAAGGTTCCAAGCCAAATTTATTACCAAGTAGGTTTACTTCAGTCCATGCTTAATTTTTCAACTTTAAGAATTCTGTTAACATCTTAGATAAAAATTTATATTATCTACATTAAAATATAAATCCTTAAATATTTTGTATACCATTAAACATACATTAACTCCCTTACGAATATTCAAAAGCCCTTTCTCTCTTTGGTTTTACATTTTAATTCAGCATGCTGCTTATTTTCTTCTTGAATCCACTTGAGGTTTCGTAAAGACTTTCTAACATCTTGGCATTGTATATATGTAACGTAATAAAGTTACACAAAATTAATCACTTAATTACTGTGATAGCATCACTGACAAACGCTCTAGAATACTCACATAGTTTGCTCTTTTTTACTTGTCAAAAAAACTAAAATTTGTTTAATTACTTAAACTGAAAAATACAGAGAAATTAAAAAATTGTTATAAGTCTCTCGTTAAGTCAATTGCGAAAGAGGATTAACTTTATTAACATGATTCGGGAGGCCTCTTTTATTTATAGCATTAGAAAGCCATGTACTTGATGTACTATTTATATGCTTCTCACAAGTAACTACTAGCGACTCTTATTTGATTGTGTTGCGTGCGTGCACCATGTCACTTGTGTATGTGCAGAGTATTAAAGCCGCTAAATTTGAAACTCTGACTACATTACGATTTTAAATCCCTTTTGTAAGAGTGAGAGGTATGTTATACACTCAACTTAATTTGTGTTTAGTGTACTTTATCAGAATTTGTATTGTAAAAAATTTTTTTTTAACTTATAGCTCCTTTGCATCTGATGAGGGCCAGGACGTTGTTCAAACGGCCTAAACGTTGTTTTTGTTTTTGAATAAATACAAAAATATGATAGTACCACCATTGGATACTGTGTTCAATAATTATTTACTAACTGTTACCGAACGTTCTATTTAATTATTTAATAACCGTTCCCTGTCAATTAAAATTGATTATCACTTGACTGGAGACACGATACATCAAAATTTTCTAGTACCAGAACACTATAGAATATTTAAATAGCTCGTTTTTTTTTTATTTTTCATAATAACTTAAATGTGTTAAATAACTGTTCACTCTCAATTTGAATTGTTCTTCTTTACACTGTGAAGACGAAAAAACTGTCAAAAAGTCACTGGATTTTTATTTATATACCGTTAAATACCAAAGTTTCTGGTACCAGGCCGTTCTACAATGTATTAAGATATACATTACTTTCGAAGTCAGAAGCATTTTCGAAAGTTTAATTTTATTAATCGCTCTTGAATCTTAGAAACTACCCTAGAACTTTCAAAATTATTCACGATAAGGACATACTATCCTATAGTATGCAGACCTTGGAGAGGATCGGTGATTCCTGATTGAATGCTTTAAGCTGAGAGGGTAATATAGGGTCATCGGTCACTGGCGTTTCCAGCCTTGCTATGAACAACTCTGCTCATGACATTTACCAGTGAATGACTGACTTGGTTTAATAGTGGCTGGCTTCATATAGTCTTTGAGTTGACGAATCGTCTCCGGAAATTGTAGTAAAAATGTATTAGTTGGCAAGGTAATTTAAACTTAGGTGGCCCTTAAAAGAACTGATGAGATTGATGGTTAACTAGGGAACGTAAGTACTAATGATGGCCCTGAAAACGGTGAGACTTGTGGCTATTCCTTATTATTGTTCTTGATGTTGAAGAGCTAGCTGTAGGTAGCTTGGCGCTTACCCTTTGAGTTTTTGTGTACGAAGACCATACAGGAGAAGAAGAACGCCGCTGTCCAAAGAATATCTCATCTTCAGGTCGTTCCCCGGATAACCAACCATTCATCGGTAGTCAGCAAAGTGGGCCTGGAGAATACTTTCTGTGTAGGTATGCCATTGAGACGACCACTAAAAAGGCCGGGCTTCCCGTACTCTTTTGGACTGTCTTCCCTGGCTCGCTTTTAAAGTAGAAAATTCTCTGATAGCACCAGGTTGGATGGTTGAACGGCCAAAAAGCTCTGAAGTGCTGGAGCAGGTTGTACTCTGGCTAGAAACGTTTCCTGGTATTCTACCGAAGATGTTGACGTTCCGAACACCTGTTTTTCCGTTGCACTCATTTATTTTGGGGACCTGGGGTTAAAACGATTTATTTCGCTTGCCCATGAAAAAAG